GTCTGCGGTGTCTAATTTCTCTCAGGCCATAAATGAGAAACTGAACCAATCAAAGGATTCATAGGTTCCTTTCTTTATTATTATTGAAAAGAGCCACGATTCCACCGCACTGTTATTTCCTCCTGAAACTGTCTACACCTTTTTTCGATTCGTAGAAGGATCCCTTACCTAAAAGTTAACGCAGGCGAGAGGAATATCCGTGATCGTTACTCGCCGACCGTGACGTTACGAAATATAAAGCGCGTTCGTGGCAACGTTATCGAAAATAATTATCACCCAGTGTTTTACAATCGAAATTGCGTGTAAAACCATTATCGAGATCCCGCGTAATTAAAAACCTATTCGACGAGCAAGTTACTGACCCGTTTGCTCCGTTTTAAAGACGTTTAGACGAGCCGTTTTCCATCTAATTATTATCCCACTGCACGCCACTTTCAGCAATTGCGCAGTGATTAATGTTCCAAGCGAACTAGCCAGTTTTCACGCTGCACTTCCGATCCATTTTTTTTTACAAGTGGCTGATGGCATTTAAAAAGCTTCTTTCGCCGGTGCTCAAACATTACCAGGAAACGTTTAACGACAAAAAACTGCAATAACTTGCCTGAGCAACGGTAAATCCTGTCGTGACGGCAAACAAGGATTCGGTGAAAATCCGCGACGGATGTGGAAACAGATTCGCAGAAAATGTTGCACAGTTTAAACACAATGGGTTTTGACGAGAAATGGATAAACGTTTGAAAGGGAAACGTGAAGTATTGTAGATCCGGTTGGGTGTCGCGAAATTGCGAAAAAATCGTCAACATTACAAAACGAAGGGGAGATACATTATCAAGATGTATCGGCGCGTCTTGCGTACTATATGAAATATGGACGTTACGGTACTGTGTATCAAGAAGCATAGATCTTATGGTAGGTCGACGATTAACGATGATACCAGTTCTAATCGTAGGATATTTTAATCGTTTGCTATCAAATAACGTCTAATTAAATACTTGTTCTTCTTTTGCACACGTTTGTCTTTTCGTTCCCGACCGTTCTATCCTTCCCTAGAGATGGTATCTGTTGACCATAAGAGGATGAAGGAGGTTCAAGTTTGAAAAGAAACTAACATCTGCTTTTGAATCGAAGGGAGGGTCCCTTTCAGAAATGTCCGAGGTGGAATTAATCCTTGAGGAGTGTTACACTGTGACGCTGGCGCACCTGGATCACGCGAACATCTGGTTCTTCTACTGTACTCGGGATTTCTAGCATGGCTCTATTCAGTATCCATGTCCGGCTGAACCCGGACACGTGCTGCAAACGGTTCCGTTTTGCAATGCATTCCATACGTGAACCACCGATGTGTCACTTTCGAATTTAAAAAAAAAAAGAATGCAACCTGACTCATTTTCACATGTGCGTAAGATTCTTTATCTGAGAAACTAGCAACACAATTTGATCTAAATCCCAATTGATGTGTGATAATTTCTGTCTTTCAAATGTTCATTCTTTGGAAAGAACAGAGGTTCGCTTTAGAAAAATGAATGAAGAAAAGGCGAATGCATTATTTGGTACCCTGACACTGACTTTGACAGGGCTGAACTCTCATAGGAAAGCATTACGGCAACGAATAATTAATCGGAAACCCAAGCAATTATCTGATTAATTGCGTAATTGGTAGTCTAATTAAGGAAGTGGATGCGGAGGAAGCTGCTACCGGGTTCACGCGACTCGTCGACTTTCCATCGAGCTTTTCCAACGGATACGACAATCTCCTTCGATCGCAATCTGAACCCGCAGACGGCCGAGTCGGATGCGGGCGTGGAAATGGAAAGTGAAGGAAGACCGCTTGTGTAATTCTTTGTTGATTACGACAAGTACACGTTTCTTTTCCGGAGTGCAAGTTCTCAAGCATCTTGCACACTTGGGCGCCTGTGCGATCGAAATAATTATAAAAACGGCACAAGTAATTTTGAATTATTTATATCAGACGTATAAAAAAAGGATCGTCCAATGATAAATTACCCAACCAAAAGGAGATTCTTTTAAATCGTTGGAGCTAGGTAAATAATCTCGGGACTACGACGCGCAATCTAGAATCGAAAAAGGAGTCTCGTTGACCAAATGCACAGTTCGTGTTCGGTTGGTATCAAAAAGGAAGAGCAACGGGGGAGATTTAGGCCTCACGGTTAGGGTCGTCTGGAGGAGAGGCATTCCAGGACGGAGGATTCGATGGCTCTCCCCGTGCGTGCATTCGCATCGGGGCGGCATTCTTAAATCAATTAGCGACGACCAAAAGAACCAGCCGACCTTCGATCAGCAGAAACCGCTCTCAGCTACCGTGTCCCCGTTGCTGCCTCCGCTATTACCGCCGCGGGGCGCGCTGCTGCCTATCGAACTTTGGAACGCTTTTTGCACTCGAACCGAAACACGCCGCCTGCGTTTCCTTCCTACTAAATGCTGCATCCCTTTGTCCTTCTTCGGCGGACCACCAACCGCGACGGAACGCGAATCACCGATTTATTTCAAGTCCAAGACTACTTTTTCCCAGGAGTCCCATCCCAGATCAAGAGATGCTCGAGAACTTGGGAAATAAAACTGTCTTCTGAAACATGTAATAACCGAGTGACCCACAACCCTCGCCCAAGCTGTATTTACGTTTGTTAATGATAATGAGTAAATTATTTTTCGCTGTAAAACATCCTCTGCGACTCCCATATAAAGTTCACCCTTCACTTTTCCCGAATGCATGCGATAATAATGAGCTACTGCGGCATAACGAAAGGCGTTAGCGGCCGTGAATTAGCGAGGATAGAAACGGCGTATTACGCGTTATTTACAATCTACGAGTGAAAAATGTTGAGCGCGGTAAATGCGAAATGAACGTTCGTAAATCGCCAAGTCCTACACGCCCACCCGGTTCGGATATTACCAACGTCACGAACACACAGTTTCCTGCGAGAGGTGGACGCGGCGTGGAAGCCCGTTACGAATGACATAACGGCAACTTCGATCTCGCGAGGAACGTAGCAAAACACGGATAATGCCGCCGCCGCGATACCAGGAAGGCCGGCCGATATTTCGTTTCTTCCTCGGATCGTTGCGGTCGATTCCTAGATACGCGAAGGGGACAAATTGAAACGAGAAACAAAACGCGCGATCCTGGCCATCAGGCGAAAGGGCCATCAACCGGAATGGTTCTGAAGAACTCTCGCGAAGAAACCAAACGAATGATAAACTCGATGGGGAAAAATCTTTATTACTTTACGATTCGTTCTGCATACCGTTAGACGACATTATCCCTCTCGTACACAGAACGCGTACCCCGACTATAACTCGTTAGAAAAATCACTCACTCTGTTTCAAGAGGAACGTATAAAACTGTAGAAAAAATTCCCTGTATATTATCTGTTTCTTTGTAGACGTCGATGTATCCATTCAATCGTTGTTAGATTCACTACTCTGATTTTTTAATGGAACGTAAGAATTCTATGAAGCATCAAATGCAGTACTATTGGCAAGAGGAATAGGTTTTTGGAAAATGAAAATGCGTAAATCTGAGAATAAATCAAAGGGAGAAGCAATAACCACATTCCTAAGCCCCGGTAAAGGCAAACCGAAGAACGCGACCAATTATAGTCAGAAGAAAACCAAACTGTTTCCGGCGTGTTCCATTGGAAATTGCGTGGCATTCGCTAATTGCTCGGCGAAAGAGCCGCGCACCACGCATCGATGTCTTTCCTCTGGCATAGCAGAACGGCAGGAGTCAAAAGAGGGCTCGCCGCGTTTTAGTTCTACTCAAACTGTATCGCTATTACTCGTGCTCGGGCTCTACTAACAACGCGACGTTAATTTTATATACACAGCGTATACGAGGCCACACACCGCATTCGCTCGTCAGATTAACTATAATTTAAAAGCGTCTCGTTATAATTCTTCTCACGTTTCTCGTTACCCATACGTGCGGCATAGTAGCTGGACACGCACTCTACAGGATCGTTCACAAATTCTGCATGATTCGAGTATACGATTAATTAAACTGCAGATTTTTTGTGATGAAATGAGTAAAGATATCAATTGCTGCATAGATTGTTATAACAAATCTATCAATTAATGCGTCAACTATTATATCTAATATTATACGAAGCATAGCATCACTTATTGTACAAATCGTCTTTATGTTAAAAACATTGATTTGTCAGATTGTGGAAGATTTGCTGAATCAGCCTGTACATGCGTGCACGCGCACGTGAGGGTGCAATATAATTCAGGCATGCCGGTCGTCGTTTCGACCGGCCTATATAACGCGCGAATTACTTGCGCGTAATATACTGCGAAACAAAGCCTGTTAACGTCACGAGACGGTAAACTGCGAGGTATTTTGTTTGGCGTCCCGTAACTTATACTGTCCACGCACGACTTTGTAAGAGTCCCGGGTAATTGAGTACTCGTACCCGACGACTGTTAATACCGCTGACCGTTTTTACGCTCGCCGGACTTGAACGTAAATCCTGTTCGATATTGAAAAATCTGCTGGCTGATTTACATCAGGGATACTAAAATTTTTCTCTCACACATCTGTGTGACAGTCTATTATAAATAAAAATAAATGAAAGAGCGCGAGGTTCTAAATTTTTACTATCATATGTACTTAAAGTTCATGTTTCTCACGAATTGGGGGCAGGGTAAACGACGAAGAGAAAATGCAATAATAACGAAGTGTAAATGTCAGTTCCCTTATTAATAAATTACACCGGCACGTTACGGACAGTCATCAATGCTCCCAAGTCTGAATAACATTACTCTCTGGCCAATTGACTAGCGAGATTTGCATTCAATCGTAGAAAGTGTTATTCCCGCACGCCTAATGCTTCTACAAGAACCTCTCCCTTAAAATATTGTCACGCGACATTCCTTTCTCTAATTACAATTTTAAAAAATCTAAAGACAGAATTACTTCTGTCTTTCCATCATTGATTTTTTTTCAACGATGTTTTTTCAATTGAGCCTATTATTTCCAGGATGGTTTTCTGTGATATCTGGTAATAATGCAACGGGCAACGCGAGAGTGTACAGAAGAGTGGATTCCCTGGTGCGCGCCGGGGTACCAGCGTTCCTTCTGGCTGCACCTTTGAGGGCGTATATCTTGACTCACTCGAAAATGGGTAAGTGAAAAATACTCATCAAGAAAAATAGAAATATAAAAAACCTCATGATAAGAAAAGTGTCAAGAAATCGTCGTAGGATAAAAATAAATGCGAGTACTGTGAAAATAAGTAAAAGGCACAAAAAATAATGAAATAATAACACACACGAGCGTACTAAGTACCGATGTTCTTGACCCAAATGCATATACAGCATTGATACCTTGACTCGACAAAAAGGATAAATACGCGGAATGCGCAAATTATATGTTGTGAATGGTAGTAGAAAGTTAAACGGCGTATGCAGTAACGGAAGTGCGCAAGCCAATGATATAAGAGGCGTGATACAAAAACTCTAAGTGTCCGTTTCTGTTTTACAAGTGGGACTATCAATTTTCAATCTACTCTATAGATAAAATAAAATCCTCTATTCAGAGTCAACGTCGTAAATACGTCTATTGTGTCTGACTTAAACCGTCTTATTTCACTTGTTTAACTACACTGAACGAAATTAAGATTGTAGCTCAATCTTTTCCAGTTCTATTGATCTCTGTAGTGTAAAATTATTACAGAACATTGAAACCTTGATGATTTCTGTTCTCGAATTCGGCCTCAATTCTAAACCGAGACGAAACGCGAGGAAAGCTTTACGACCGCAAATCGTGAACCGCAAACAGCGGGAATTCTACCTGCGGTCACAAATGGTTTAGCCGCAATCGGAACTGTTTCAAAAATATCTACGATGATCTTCCCTTTTACACTTGAGTCATTCAAACACAAGTTTATAAACATACGGAAAGATAATTTAAACACAGAACGTATTAGAAATACAAACACATCAAGTATAATAAAATAATCATCGCGCCTCAATTACATGTATTATGCAATTAGCAGTATATCAACGCCTTTCACTGCAGGCGCGAGTAATCACAAGATTAGTTGCGCAATGATTTTCTTTGATCTTGGGTTTTCACTTATAATAAGACATATAAAATAGTTATCATGCAACGAGCGTGATAAATTAGTAGTGAAAACAAATCCGAACTTGTGAAAGTGCAAAGCAATATGTATCTTTCTAGTCTACTAAATAGGCTGTACTTTTATAGTTCACAAAACTAAAAAATATCTTGTACTTTCGATCAGTGTAACATTTCTCTAACTTGTATTAAAATGAAAACTCTCTGTTCGTTTTCAGAGAATGGCAATTTACGAGCTCATTACACAAAGACCACGATTAGAGCAGGGGAGATTCTGCGGTTAATAGCCGTGTTTCAAGACACGAGGAAGTGTACTACGGTTTCCTTCGGAATTTCCGGTAGCTCCTCTGAAAAGGATCAGTACGCGCAGTGTTTGGATCCGCACGGTCGCGAGGTGTTTGCACCTTTGTCGGCGAGGGGAGAATTTTATGCTGTTTGCCAAAACGGGAGCATCGACACCGGCAGCGACGCGGTATTATACAAACTGCATCATCTCGCAAAAAGACCGCTACCTCTCAGGGTAAATATTCTCTCTCCCTCTCTAATTTCTCTTATTTAAATTCAAGTGTACAGTACAAGAATACTTTTTAATTTGTTAAGAACACAGACATTTTGTCTTGTGTCCTATTTTAAACATAGAAACAACTTGCGAGTCGAATCAAGCAATATTAAAGCATATTCAGCATGCAAGCAATTGACTCACCGTTGATGTCTTCAGGTTCGTTTGATCGCTGGTCCTCTGCCCGTACCACTGCCGAGGGAATACGGTGGCCTGATGCAACTGGAAAGCTCGACGCGAGGTCCGATTGTTTTAGGATGCATCGTTCCGGAACGGCCGGTGCATAATCCCGAAATGCTCGAGTTGGTTGTCACCGGGAACGGTGCACCTAGAGTCAAAAGAGCACGATTAGGCTACCCATCGGAAGCTAGGCTTCTGGCTTCGCCAAAAATGCAACGCTTGCTATCCGCCTGCAGGTAAGCCAATGTTCTATCATTGAAAAACTCGAAAAACAAATAAACATTCTACTGGCTTGGCAAGAAAGTGATTTCGGTTTTACAAATGCGTAGTATTATAAGAACCGAGATTACTTCCTTGCCGATTCAATATATCGTGAACAATTATTGTGCGAGCAATAGAAAATGGTCACAAACTTATACCGAGCAAATGTACTAATATTGAAAAAATACATATTGATCTTAACCTGTTTTTTTAACTTTAGCCGGGCTGTCGGCGATCGTGCAACGGAACCACGAGTAGCACCACTAAAACTGCATCCAGTTGGCGAGGACCTCAAAGAGATGCACTTGAAGAAGATTAAGCCGAAGACAGAAACAACGCCTATCCTGCAAAGTTTGAAGAACGGTCTTGAACACCTGAAGAAGAGCACTGTGCGCGAAAAGAGTCAAACGCGCCAAAATTGTCGTACCGGCTTCTTGGATAAGATATCGAAATTCGCCCAAGGTAGTCGCGGCAGGAATCCCGCGAAGAAGTCAGCTTCGTTTACGTTCGCAATTAAACCCGAAATCGCAATGCGTTGCCACGAAAGATACTCCAGCCTGGAACCGGAAACTACCTCTCACCCGTCACAATCAAACTGTTCGAAACAACCGGTACAACGGTCGGCGTCCACGAGTGTTTTAGAGATGCCAAGTAACGTAGAGTTGCAGCCAAATTACTCACGCGTTAGAGACAGCCTCACGCCCGTGCCATCGTTTCCCAAGTTGACCAAAACAGACGATATTTACGCAGAAATTTGTGACGACGCGGTCTCCAAGGTCCAAAGGTGTCCCGGCAGTCACGTAATGGCGAGGATAAAAATTGTAGTGAAGGGCCGTGATTCGCCGGGGGCTCTATCGACGAGGATCATTAACGATAATCGATACGCCTATGCGAATTCGATGGCGACGAGCGAGCAAATCGATTCAATTATCACCACGGAGGACGAAGTTATATATAACACGATATTTTAAGCACGCAAGTTCGTTAGTTTATCGCGTACGTTTAAGTTAACCGGCTGTGTTTAGTGACCCAGAACCCGTTCTTTGTTTTCTGTCGACTTAATTGATAGGCTGCTTTATCGTTGTTGCCACTGTTGACTTCGATGCGTTTCGGACACCTGTTCGCGCGCGACGATTCACGGTCTATGAATGGCGGTTGACCTTGTATTATAGTATATAGAAAACATCGTACGGAGTAAATAATAATAATTGCTTGTAAATATCTTTGCCATACGTACTAACGGTAGTGACGAGAATGGATACAGTTTTGAGGAAGACCGAAAGTTGAAAAATATCGGATGGATGGAAATCGGATGCAAAGAAATAAAACGAATGTGCGTAAAGAATATGAACATCTTTATTTTGCATAGAAAAATACAAATTATACTTTTTTCCTTTTCGAAGATTTAGTTTTAAATAGTCTCCTCGCGCCTGAAGATTTCTTATTTCTTTCTTTCTTTTTCCTTGGAATTTCTTCTATTACTTTCTTCATGATATCCACGGCTTTCTGATTATTCTCGTTCATTTTTAATTCTACATTAATGTCAGGATATTTCCCTGAAAATCCTTTTGGAAACAGCGGTTTCGACATAAGAGATGCCAATTGTCGCTTCTTTACTTTCAATTGATGCTTCAAATCTGCTGTCTCCTTTATATCCGACGCTAATTCCCTGAAAAATAAAATTGTTTCTCGCACCAAGAATATACCAGCGATCCTTCCTATTTTGTATCATGATAATAAATTTTACTCTTCGTCCTCTTCCAGAACCAAATCCATGTCTTCAACTGCCTTGCGTAGCCAGCCCTTTTGTGAATTATCCCTGCGACTTCTCAACTCCAACTTGTCAATTTCTCGGGCAATATCAACCCTTTCCTTAACAGCAATCAGCAGCCGATCGACCACAGGGAACATGGGTAAGTCTTCCGCTAAAATTCAAACAATTACGTAAGAATTGAACGCAAGTTATTGGATGTGAAATTTTTTGATTCTTTCACTTACTACGACCGAGAGTTCTACACAATTTACTGTAATTTTGTTTTTCCGACGGTTCCATCATAAGAACAGTTATGCCTTCTTTCTGCGCTCTCGCTGTTCGTCCACTTCGATGCACGTAGCTCTAAAAAATATTCAAAATGTATATTTGCAAACGTCGAGTCGTTTAATTTTACATACCTCGCTCGTTCTGGGAACTTGATAATGTATCACGTGCTCGACGTTTGGAATATCTAAACCTCTCGCGGCTACATCGGTAGCTATCAACAGTCCGTCCTCGTCCGCTTGAAACCTACAATTTTTTCTCCATCATTCAAGAATTAAATTCAATTGCAATGGTATTTACCTTTCCAAGTTCTTTAATCGCTGCCTTTGCGCCATACTCGCGTGCAATGGTAATGGTTTACATTCGAGTATACCGAAAAGTGTAGCCAAGCGTTTTACGCAACCGATGCTGTTACAGAACACTAACGTTCTGCCGGCGTGTCTTTTCAAAAAGTAATACAAATAATAATCTTTGTGATCTATCGTACACGCTATTCGACACTCCGTTAGATTGCTCGCGGTACCTGTAAAATTATATGCTGTTCACTGTATCAAATGCTTTTTCATATGAGAGACGCACCTGATTCTTTTGTAACGTCAACGATTTTCGGATTCTTAATTCCCACCAAGTCCATAATCTTTTGTAACTTTTGACCGGACGTAAGCTTGTGTATTCGACTCTTGACGTGTTTTCTCTTTTTCCTCTGCAAGTATTCTGGAATATCGTGGACCATAGTTAACGTGGCAGAGAATACGAATGTTTGCCTCGCGTTCGACATTTTTTCATTAGTATTTATCTTCTCCAACAATTGTTGCAATTCTAGGAAATGGCCCCTTTCTAACATTCTGTCTGTTTCATCAATAGCCAAATACCTATTTTGTGATTAGACGAACATATAAAATTCATACGACTATTTTCTTAAGGAAACGTACTTGACAGAATCCACTTGACTGAGATGTGGGTTGCCCTGCTGAATCAATTCCCACAATCTACCAGGTGTAGCAATTACGATCTCAGGACCTTTGCTTAATAGTCTCTCTTGCTTAACTGCAGCCATTCCTCCTAATACCACTGCTATCTAAAGAACATCAATTCTCAACAATACATCCTTCGTATTTCATTCATACGTTGTAAACACTTACTTTTATATCTGTATACTTGACTGCTTTGGACAAATGATCTTTAATCTGAATAGCCAATTCACGAGTTGGGGTCAATATTAACGCGTACAGAGGTTTGCTTGCATAATTCCGTGGTTTCTCTAATTCGACATTATTAATTACACGTACACAGCCTACACTATTTTCATTTACATCTTCTTCCTCGTAATCAGATTCCAAAGAACTATCTTCATCCTGTTCAACTTTAGTGTCTGAACAAATCCAACCTTTGTTCACAATATTTGTACTGGCTGAACTAGATTCTGCATCTGATTTATCCGAGTCCTTATTCTTTAATTCTAAGATACCATTTATAATTGGTATGCCAAATGCTAACGTCTTTCCACTGCCAGTTTCAGCAGCACCCAGGATATCTCTGTGTCCCAATATTGCCGGTGGCAGAGTTAAAGCTTGAATAGGTGTAGGCTGATAAAATTGTTGATCCTTCAATGCCTTTAGTACAGGCGTTGGTACACCTAACATACTCCACTGTTGCATATCAGGAACATTCTCATCGTCATCACTTTCATTCAGATCATCTTCAGATTTATGTATTTCATTTGTAGGAAGTGGATCTTTCACTCTTTTCTTATTATTCGTTCCTTTATGATTTACTTGTTGAGATTTCGGTACTTTTGCTTTCTTTCGTGATTCATTAGTATCTACGTCTTCCTCTTGCCATCTATTAGAAAGTTTACGTTTTGGTGATACCTATAAACCTAATTTAGTTAAAATCTTTTATGGAATAAAGTCTCTAACGAAATATGGTTTTACCTTAGCTGTCTGGTTGCTACTTTTACCATTACTAATTACAATCTTTCTTTTATCATATTCATGTTCTAATTTGTAATCGGTTAACTCCTCGATACCGATTAAACCATCAACATCACCGGAAAGTACAGAACCTTCCAAGTTCAATGGTTTCCATTCACCCAAATGTCTAAACTTCTTTTTAGTCATAATTCTCGCATGAACGAAAATCACTTCCCTACGTTTTAACCTTAGAATTGTGGGAGACTGAAAGCACGTGGTCACACACACAACGTTACTATTCACACGTACTACGAATATAGCAGTACGCACTTAAGAGAGGATATTAAGTAAAAAAAGGACATGGATTAAAAAATTATTTTCTTTATTTACAAGGCTGCATACAATAATCTTGAGATGGAGATGAAAATGTACAATTATCTATTTTGATTTGCATTAATATTTCCAACATCAGCAGCTTCAATTTTCTGTTCTGCAGCCGAATGCGATTCTGAAAATCTCAACTTCTCCAACTGTGCAGCAGTTGCATTTATTTCCATCTGTTCTGACGAACTTGATTCAATCTTCAGCAGCCCTAATGTTTGCATGCTGGCAACTGATGGATTTTTTGAAATCGGCAGTAAAGGAGCCAATGGTTCCAAAATATTTTCTCTGTTTAAATACGTAATTCCCTGTAAAGAAATCACGCGCAATTCTTAAAATAATTTTCTTATATTTGTTACATTTCATATGAGTACGATTTTCCTACCTCCGTTTGCAGCAGATTTTCCGAAACTCCCAAGTGAATCGCAGTTTGGCTCGGTGGGAAAATAGCGTGAATACAGTATTGCACATAAGGAATTAATTGTTCACTCAGGCATTCTATAAATCGCAGCATGTTCTCCCTTTCTGAAGCTGCGAAAGCCTGTGAAAGGAACGCGTTATCTGTATAATTAATCAAATTATAAGAGAAACACAAAGTGAGAGTAATGATCTTACTTGCTGTTCTTGTTTATAAAACAGTAAAATAGCCTTCGCTACATTCCGTAAGGAATCCTGCAGAGTCTTTGTACAAACGACGGAAAGTGCTATGGGCGGGCAAAGCCTTATTTCATTAAAAGTAGATACAAGTCCGTTACAATATTCAGCTAACGGATAGAATTCTACCAATTGTTCTGGTGGACTTTCCTAAAACACAGTTTCTTGTCATGTTGAAAATCGTAAACGCAAATGTGCAGTAATATAAATAATTACTTACTGACTTAACACTAGTAGCCATTTTAATATTGGTCCTTTGCGTTTTATTAATAAGTGTAAAAGATTCCATATCTTTCTCAAATTTCTTTGTTGCCTTACGGATACTGGCATCGAACTTTTCGCGAATAACGCGTACAAATATATCGGACATTCGACCAGTGAAATCAGCACCTACTCTACCGAACGATAAACCGAAATATGTACACTGGCCTAAAATAGAATCTATCGATGTAACACCGGGCAAATCTTGTTCCAGAGTCGTTAGAAATTGTGATATCTGAGAAAGAGACAAATTATTAAATGATATCCAAATAAAACAAAAAGTTTAACATACTTTTTCTTCGATCCAGTGATAGAATATAGCGCACTCGTTTACTGTTGGGTCTCTTCCCGGTATTATCAACTCATCATCGTTGAACATCGCTTTATATTGCGTAATTATATTAAACAAGTGTATCCTCGATAATTCTATTGTTTTCGTTATATGGATATTAGCTGTTCGAAGACAAGTATTATTAAATTCTGAACAGAGTAACTATTCGTAAGATTAACTTACGGTCATCTTTGGGGATCGCGCTCAACAAACTTTGTAACCAGCTGTCGCGAGCCTGCAAAAATTTAATACGTAATTCTGGCTCTGTAAACGCGTCCATTGATCTCAATAATCCGACAAGTTGCAAACATCTTGCGAGTGGCAGATCTCCTCTCAACGAACCCACAACCTGTCCTACCATGCCAGACCAACTGCTTTCAATTTCTGCCACTATGGACTAAATTGATTAATGAATAAAACGAGCTATACTTTTGATTAGGTTTCTAAGCGTGTCATACCGATATGATTGGAATGTCTCCATGTTTAGCTCCTAATTGACGAGCATATTGGGATAACTCTAATGCTTCGTTGTACTGATTGCTCCTCAAGCAGGATTCCATCAGCTGAGGCATTTCAAGTATCTCGAGTAATTCTGCATTTCTTGTTAATGTTAAACTATTTATTCTTCTATGCGTATTTATGTCCTTCGATTTATCGCAGAAGGACTGGCACTTTTCCATAAAGTTGGGTATCTTTTGTACAAGCCCATTGAGATGACTCTCTGTTTCATTAAACTTGAAAATACATGTTTCTATTAGTTGGTACATTAATAGTTTCAATAGAACGATTGAAGTTTGTTAGATCATTACTTGTTTAAATATCTCCCTGGAACTTTCTGCAGTTTGAATGAAAGTTTTATAGTTTGTAAACACTAGCTCTTGGGTAGTTTGCAATACTGAAGCCTTTTCATCATTTAAATGATCTGGTTCCTTACCTAAAGAGCAACTACAAGTTAAATTTTGCTTTAAGTAACACAATTATGATTTGAAAAATGCCTTACTCAGTTGATCAACATCGTAGCCACCAAGTTTAGATAAGTATTGATAAAATTCTGGATTTTCCTTCCATGATTCTGAAAAAATGATATACCATTTCGAATGAATATCGAGGATAAAGTGTTAGACAAACATTAAATATAATATTATTGCAGTAAAAGCAAATCACCTGGAATGCCACTTGGAAATACGAGCTTTATAACATTCTCAGTCTCGATGTCCATTTTTTATTTAAATAATACATTTGTCGGTTTATTGATGTTATTATTTATTGCTTATATAACATCTGGAATGAAGTGAATCTTTAATTTAAATAAGAAATATAACCTCGGGGCATGAGCTGACGAAGTGTAGGTGACAGCTCAGCTGCTCGGCTAAACCATCATCTTCTGTCAATAGTGGGGGGCTAGCAAAGCCGAGCAAGGCATGGTTGGGTCATGAAGAGCAAGGTTGGATTGAGAATATAACCCTTCTGCTTTTATTTTATAATTGTTTGTAAACTGTTGTAAACTCTAAACAACAAGTAACAACAATGATTTCGAGATATAGGAATTCTGTCTGTATTTTTGGGAAATACATGCAGGTAATAGCACGTTTTTCATTCCGAAGGAACTTTTGATTTGTGAGATGAACTCTGTCTTTCAGAATAATTTGCCTTTAATGTTGGGTCCTATTAATTACCCAGTTGTTAATGACCCTTCTCAACAAGTCAGAAATATAAAGAAGCATTTTAATCCAAAGTATCGAAAAGAAAGGGCAATGAAGTTTATTAAGATCGAGCTGCCCGATTTTGATGATAGCAACGAGGAGGTGGTGCAGGAGAGATTTCGATCACGATTAAAAAGACATGGGATTTTACCTCAGAGAAACTGGCAAGAGAGACCTGTTCTTATTAGCTCCACACCACAAATATTTGAGACTTACGTCGTTCCAGAGGGTGATGGCAAATTTTCACCCATTACTAAAGCAGTACGTGATCATATACTCATGTTTAGTATCGTTCGTTCGATCAAACAGTTATCTGAAGAATGTGTACCTTCAATGTTTAGGGTGCGAAACAAAAAGTTGAATTCATTGGGAAAAAGAGCAAGTCTTATTTGGCTATTAGGAAAATCAAATCGTTTGAAGAGGACTTCCATGTGAAGGCATTTGCCGAAGAGGCATTAGAAATTTATAAGAAAGCACATGAAACTTTAGCTGAGTATGTGACACGCTTATTCTACAT